CTTTGGAAAATGATAACCCAGTTAAGAAAACTTGAGTTAAATATACAAAAAAATAAAATTTACAAATAATCTAATTTTCACATTTGGTTTTTTACTTCCCCCCCCAATACAGTTTCCAAAAAATAAATAATAGATTAAGAAAAGCCACATTTCATCCACACGAGATGCTTCTTTCTCAAAAAATTGTCATAGTTGTGAGAGATTTTTATCATTTATAATTCAATTTTTGTTTGCAAAAATTATTGTTTGAATTACTACAAATGTCTTCAGATACTTAAAAATCTGACTTGTTGATTTTTTTATGCAATAAGCATTTGCATTTTAATTTTAATATTAATTTTCATAAAAGAAAAAAAAGTGTACTCACTCTGCTCAGTGTCAGCTGGAGTGCTGATTCAGGTTTGAAAGCGTCTGCTGTGTCTTCTCCCTTTATTCTGCAGATTCTGCTTTGTCATGATATGATTTCCCACAGAAGCACTGGATCACAATTTCACATGATGCATTAATTGCCCTTTTCATCATGCAGCACTTCATCTTACTCCTTTTTTTACTCATTGTGTATCAGAAAATGAGCCATTGTGAGTGTATTTATTCTTTTCTCAGAATGTTAAGTCATGATGAGTTTTGTGTTACATCACTTCCTTCTTGGTATTCACAGAGACTCATTGAGTCTTGAGTTCCCATACAGTCTGTTTAGGTCACAGGTAACTTTAGTTACAACCTTGTATTGTGTTAATCTGGGTTACAGACAGCTTTTGCAGGTAAATATAAAACACCTTAGAAATGCATCATACATTTTTATTATCCCACTTCAATCTAATTAAGCAACCTGCTGATCATACTGCCGTTTAATATAATCTTGTTGTATTATTATGGTTTTTTTTAATATATATTGCAGTAACAGACATGCCTGGTTTCTTGTAATTGAAAAAGTTGTGTGAAAATGGGGAAAAAATAGTTGAATGCTACCTGCTATCTTGTTTGCCTCTTTATGAGGAATTGTTCTTCAAATTATTTATTATTTAAGAAGAATTTACTTATATGAGTTTTGTTCTGACTCCTTAAGAGTCGCCCCACATATTATGTGGTGTTATACAAGTTCATGCAGTCTTCATTTGTTTCTGGGGCACTGTTCATTTTATTTTGACATCCTACCTGACACTGCTTTGTGTCTAAAAGGAAAAGGGCAGTTAGCTACTCCTGTGCCTACCTATGCTGCCTCTTAAGCCAACACAGTCTGTAAGTTGGCAGTAATGTTGTGTTTTACCAGTGTGTGTTTGGCACTAACTGCTGTGAGTTGCTTGTGATAGTTTGAGCAAGTGAATTCTCCTAATGATGTGCTTCATTTGATACTAGCCTAGACGCTAATTAGCGCTAGCTAATTGCTAATGTTAGCTTGTGTAGTTCTGCTTCTCTTTGCATAGTAACAGGTCATAGCATCTTCCAATTCTAAAAAATGTTTGCTTATGTCAGCTCTTACGTTTTATTTTTGTTAGATTTGTGTTCTCATGAGTAAATATATTAATTTATCTTATGTTGTGAAAGACGTTTTCTGATTGTCATTTTATTTTGGAAAGGATTTTATTTTGGTGATTATGGATTACTTCCAGAGGTGTGGACTCGAGTCACATGACTTGGACTCGAGTCAGACTCGAGTCATTAATTTTATGACTTTAGACTTGACTTGAAAAAATGTTCTAAGACTTGTGACTTGACTTGGACTTTTACACCAATGACTCTGGGACTTGAATTGGACTTGAACCGGTTTACTTGAAAAGACTTGATATTTCACCCCAAATATAAAATTTAACATGCATATTATATAGAGATTGAAAATGTGACGTCATTCAGGGTAGAACCGCAAAGGATTCTGGGAACTCGTGGCAAGAGGTACTAGCGCACGCAGGCTTTCAATTGAAATCAGTCACACAGCGATAAAAAGAAACACAAAAATGTCAAGAAGCTGTTGTATTATTAACTGCAATAGCCGGTCGCATGACAGCCACGGGAAGCCGACGGGTAAAGAGATCGGTTGTTATCGGATTACGTCGTTGAAGAGAAATTGTTCGAGCCATGTTTCCGAAGTACAAACAGGCGACGGATGGCCTGGATTGCAGCCATTCAAAGATCAAATATAACGTCCCAGAACACTCCAGCTCACAGGTTAGTCTGCTCCAAGCATTTCCACAAAGGCAAGTCTGCTGTTGTAGTTAATACGTCATTTTCATAACATAATTGGTGATATAGGTTACAAGCAAGTCTGGTCGCTGAACAGAAATTGTCGCGCTATGCTCCTTTGTTTATTGTGCATAAATAGTAATTGTCCTGACACAATATTGCGTTTCGCTTCTGTTATTATGGTACATTGACAAAAACATATACTTTTATTCACAGGATAAAACAGGTTTTTTGTATCACTAATTGCCCAGTACGATTACAGCATACATATTATTGTCACTGCTACATTTCTGTATCGTGTACCAGAAATTATTTCCACTACTAATTAATTACCTTGAGCTCAAAGGTCTATTAATAAACGGTTAACGAAATGTGTATTTATGAAGACGATTTGTGAGACTGGTAAACTTATGATACGTACGATGGTCTTTCTTCTACACGGTGCATTTCAAGGTCCTGACCCATCCGTCGGTAAACTGTACCTGGGCTTGTTGCAGTGACCTGAAGTTACTAAACTTCATGAGTGTAGTGCACTCACTCCAAGAACCATATAATTATAAATATGCATATAAATATGCTACATGAGATAGCTGACTTCATCTAACTAGCAAATGTTGTCCAGGCTACGTTGGTGATGCAGTTTTTTTTAATGTGTATGATATTTTTGTCATGCGATTTTAAAGCCGGTCCTACAACCGCATCCAAGAATAACATGCAGCTTATCTCAGAACTGTCGGTGAAAATTATTCTTGGAGCTAGGTTTAATTGAGCTGCATTTTAAGAGGTGCAATTTCACAATTTGTGTATATTTTCTACGTTCACTATTTTGTCATGTGTTGAGAAAAACACAGATTTAAAAATTACATGGTCTAATATTTACATTTAGCATAACTGCAACATGCTTTTTTCGTTTTTTTTTTAAAGACTCGAAAGGACTTGAAATTCAAAATGTTCAGACTTGTGACTTTACTCGGACTTTTACACCAGTGACTTGAGACTCGACTCTGACTTGCCTGACATTACTTGAGACTTGACTTGAGACTTGAGGATAAAGACTTGAGACTTACTTGAGACTTGCAAAACAATGACTTGGTCCCACCTCTGATTACTTCACTTCCTGTTCCTTATGTTCCGAAGCGCGAACTGCTGAAGTAATGTATGGTTTTCCCTCCCGTGTTGCTAACAATAAAAGAAACGGGACAAGTAATCAACCAACCAAGTGTGTGGATTATTAAGAGAACATGGCCGAAGAAGAAGAAAAACTCTTCGAGCTCAACAGGTTATGGGCCCAGGCGTGACACAACAGGAGGAAGATGGCAAAGGTTAGTGTTCAACGGAGACGAAAACAGTTACGAACTTTGGGAGGGAAAGTTTCTCGGCCACATGCGGATCATTGGTCTAAAGGACACTATATTATCAGCCACTAACCCAGATGCAGAGAAGAATGCTGAATGCTACGCTGAACTAATACAGTTTCTTGATGATAAAAGCCTTTCACTGGTAATGAGACATGCGACTGACGACGGAAGAAAAGCTTTAAAAATACTACGTGACCACTACGATAGTAAAGGCAAGCCCAGAATCATCGCACTGTACACAGAGCTGACGTCTTTACAGAAGAAACCAGATGAGACAGTGACAGATTATATTATCCGAGCTGAAAAAGCAGTGACCTCCCTAAGAAATGCAAAAGAAGTCATCAGTGATGGACTTATTATCGCTATGATTTTAAAGGGGCTTCCTGAAGCTTACAAGGCATTTGCTATTCACACAACTCAAAGCAGTGAAGATTTAACATCCACACAGTTCAAAAGCAACCTACGAAGTTATGAGGAAACCGAGAAATTCGACAACAAAGTAAAAGCGGATAATGTGATGAAGGTTGATTTAACATCAATCACCTGCCATGGATGCAGAAACCGAGGACATTTTGTAAAAGATTGTCGCCAAAAGGGAACACCTAAGTGGTGTACCTACCATAGAAGCTCGACACATAGTGATGAGACATGTAGAAGAAAAACCAAGTACAGAGATGATGCGAAACTAACTGTAGTAAAACAAGAGGACAAGAAAGAAGAGCAGACTTTTGTATTTAAAGT